GCTGAGAGTGGGCCCTGGGAAGAGGCAGGGACCCCGCTGCCCACCACATGGCTCCTGTCCCCCCCGCCCCCACCTTCCTCTCATACGTGACTGTCACCCTGTGTTGTGAGTCAAGAGGCTGCAGCTGGGTGACCACGACAGGCGCATGTGTGCCATGCCCTGCCCGAGGGAGGCTGTGTGAGCAGTTGCCCAGCAACATCCCTGTGCCCACGAGGTGTGGTCTCTGCCCCTGTGTGGCCACCGGGCTGCTCTAGTTCTAGCGGCCCCACTGGGGGGCCCCTGCTCCAGCAATCCTCCACGTGAACTGGCCGGGGTCCTGACTGTCCAGCGGTAAATTCAGATGATGGTAGCACTAGCCAGCCCGTGAGACAGAACTTTCCAGCACACCCTGGCCCACAGGGTCCAGGAGAGGCGTGGGTGGACACCAGGCAGTGGTGCACGTGGACAAGACGGTGTGACCTTGACTCCCCCTTGGGGGCTAGACTCCCAGGCAGCGGGGATTCCTCCTCTCACCCTGATGGACTTTGGGGCAGGTCACTCTCGGGGGGATATCCTGGGTGCTGTGGGGGGGGCCAAGCAGCCTCCCTGGCCCCACCCACCCGATCATGATGGCCACAGACCTCCCACGACGTGGCCGCATGGCCCCTGGGTGAGCGCCTGCAGGGAGAGGGTTTTGGGCACTGTGGGCTGCGGCAGGGCCCCCGATCACACATGTTCTGTATGTGTTTTCTGTTGGGAAGGCGGCGGCAGCCCTGTGACCTTTCGCGAGCAGAAGGTTTTAAGGTTCTGACCGTCGATCCTGGCAGTTCCTGCAGGAGAACAGCTTGTCCACAGAAAAACTGATAATACCATGCATTTCCACATGCCTGGGACAGACCTGAAGCGGGAGCCAAGCCGGGGGAGAGCAGCGGCTCTGTGGGGCGGGCAGGCTGGACTTTGCTCCATAGGAGGGCCACTCCGGAGACAAAAGCCTCAGCCGAGCTCTCAGCAGGCGCCCTGCAGCTCCCAGGAGAGCAACACTCTGCTGGTGAAGGTCACGGAGCTCTTCTGCACCCTCAGCCGGGAGCAAGACTCCTGGAAAGTGCATGTCCTCCCCCTCCCCCGGCACCAGGGACATGGGGGCGGGCCACTCTGCATCCCTGGGCCCACTGGCTCGGAGCTGCCCCTGCCGTATGATGACCACAGGTGTCCCCAGACGCCGCCCAGTGTCCCGGGGGGGCAGCATCGCCCTCAGTGAAGAAACACAGATATAACCTGACGTACACAGAATCTCATTTCCCTGGTGGCCCATTTCGGGGGCTCAGGGCTGTCGGTGGCTCGTGTCCACCGTGCTGGAAATCGCAGCTCTGGGCACCGGATTCAGCTCAAAGACAATGTCTCATCCCTGTGGCTAGCACCGCGAGGGCGGGAACACCGGAGCCCAGGTGACTCCCAGGGTGAAAGGCCAGTGCCCTCAGGGGACGGGGCGTCTGAGCTGTCCCGGGCAGCTGCCAGGCTGGAGGAGCCTGGCTGGCTGTTCCAGGAGGCGAGCATCGGCCCCCCGAGCTTCCAGGCAGTGGGAAGACCCACCGAGTGGCCAGGATCCCCGTTATAGACACAATGTGACGGAAGCCATTAGGGCATGGTCCTCGTCCTGCCCCCAGGGGACCCCGGGCCAAGTCTGAGGACATCTGTGGTTGTTTTCACCATGGAGGGAGGAGCTCCTGGCAGCGAGTGGGTGGGGCTGACGGGGCCGCCCCCCCACCAGCAACGCGTGGGACACTGACCCCAGAGAGTCACCGGCCTGATATCAGCAGAGCTGAGGCAGGGGAACTCGCAGTGGGCCCCCAGTCCCTGCTAGGACGTCAGCTCTGCGGGAGCCAAGGGTTTCGCCTGTTCTGGTCACTGCCTGGGCCACAGGCCTGGCCCAGGCACTCACCCAGAAACCCCTGCTGAGGGGGGGGCAAAGTCTGTGGGAGGGCATCCCTGTGCCCAGGCAGCGAGCTCCCAGGTGACTGCACGAGAAAGTGTGACAGGGACCGACACTAGGCCACACGGCCAGAGTCCATGCCCTAGAGACCAGCGGGGGGCTTCTGAGGACTGGTGCTGTCCAGGTAAGCCCCGAAGGAAGGGCTGTGTGGGGCGGGAGCCAGCAGCTGCTGCCCCAGAAGAGGGAGGAGGGAAGGCTCCAGAAGCAAGACTCAGTCTTCCAGGTGGGGCTGCCGCCGCCAGGCTGCCCACCCCCCATCCCGGGCCTTTGCTTCTGCGCCATGGCCTTTGCTCTGACCACAGGGCCGCACCCAGGTCCAGGTCCCCTGCACCCCGAAGGTCGCAAAGTCAGCACTTCCCTCCCCCCAGTGGAAGGGACCAGCCATCAGATGCTGGTCCCAATCCGGGAGGTTTGGGATCTGTGGGGGGGAGGTGTGAAGGGGCCTGGGACAGGGTGACCAGGGGACTCTCGGGGCTGAAACATCCTGGAGGACAGGGCGGGGTAGTCACGGCCCTGCAGGACCGACCAGCAGACGGCGGGGAAACACCCCAGGCCCGCCCGCCCCTGCCGGCCCCGGCCGGCCCCTGCCGGCCCCTGCCCCACCCCCACGCACACCGGCTCAAGCCCGGCCCGCGGGCCTTCTCTGCCCCCTCGTGGCCGCCAGGGGGAATTGCAGCACCCGGGCCGGAAACCCCTGCACGACACCCTGGGAGCCAACGCCCCCAAACTCCTGCTCACCACTCGGCTCTGGCACGTGCTCGACGGCTGCTTCTGCCACCGGGGCAGGCGGCGGTGGCCTTCACTCAGCGACACCCGGCTGCTTGAAGGTGGGAAACCCTGCCCGGGCTCTGCTTGTCTGTCCGCCTCAGATGCCTCCCACGCAGGAGGTGGTCTGCGAGGGGCCAGGGAGCTACAGCGGAGCCAGGAAAAGCCTGGTATTCGCCCTCCGAGGAGTCCCTGCCGGAGATCCCCTGCCAGGCCCGCCCACCGCGCGTCCCTCCACCAGCGCCTGCGCCTCGCCACACTGCACAGCGTCCCCCACCCCAGCCCGCACGGCGTGGGGTCAGACCCATCAGTGAGTCCGGTTCGGAGACTGGACCGTAAGAGACGCCATCGGAACAAAACACAGGTGAGTCGCTCTCTAGCTTCTTGAAATTTGGGGGACACCAAAGAAAGCCCAAAGGTGAGCGCCAGTGTCCTCGGTCCCTCGGTCGGTAGGAGAAAGCCCCCGGCGAGGACAGGGGAATGACTGGCTCAGAGAAGAATTCACAGTGGGGGGACGGACACCAGCCCGAGTCCACGCAGAGCAAGACCGAGAGTTCAAACACCATGTGGAAGAGCTGAAGAAGGTCGCCGATGACGGGGACAGACCCACACCGGGGCGGTCCGCGAGGGCGCCTGCTTACCGAAGGCACGGCTGGGGGCATGCAGAAATCCCGCAGCCCGACCAGCAGCACTGGACGTGCCCGGCTGCTCAGACGCCGGGGGGACGGCCCTGGAGACCGGGCACTTGCAGAGGGCAAGCGGCTGTCGGAAGGGGAACCAGGGCACCCCGATTCTCTCCCTCTCTCACACGCACGGCAAACCTACGTGCGGGAGTTCACCCCCAACGACAGCCGGCCCAGGACGCACGTTTGCGTGAACACATTCATCACAGAATGTAAAAAGAGAGAGAAAAACAGGAAAATAAACACCCCCACAAACCAATTAAATCCACAGTAAAATTATTTTAAAAGGAGTGACTAACCATTTGCCTGTGATGTGAAATGCCGAGCCGGCATCAGGAGAGGTGAGGGAAACGCAGGCTTCCTGACAAGGAAAGCGGCCCAGCAGGCAGAAGGAGCACGTTAAAGAGCAAATCCTATTCATCCAGAATCGTGCGTGTGGACGGAACTCACAGAAGGATGGGGGAGAACACTCACCACGACGCTGGCACGCCGTCACCAGTGGGGGCTCTAGCGGCCTTGCTTCTCCTTTGCCTGCATTGTCCCTTCTACAGGACGTCCGTCCACCTCCACCCAGCCGGCTGCTGGCGGTCTCCAGACACCCCTCTGTCTTGCAACTCTGACACGGACGCCACACGGAAGGTCATCTGTAGGGGACCCGCTGGGTACCCACACGTCACACCCAGCCCGGGGCTCCCATCCTGGCTCCTGGCCTCTGTCCCCAAGGATGGCGTCTCTCCTGAGCGAAGCCAAACCACATCCTCTGTGCCTTACTGAGGTGCACGTGATAGGCCCTAGAACCCGCCTGCTGGGCGCACACAAGGCCAGGAGTCCCTGGAGAGGGCACCAGCCACCCCCCTGCCACGCAGTTCCCAGCGCACACCCACAGCAAGTCCCGATTCCCCCCTCAGGCCCTGGTGGCCAGCAAGCACCTTCCCGTCCCTGCAGACGGGCCTTTTCTAGAAACTGCACAGAGACAGACCTATGGGATGCACTTCTCCAGGGTCTGCCTCCTCTTCTAACGTTTTCTCATTTAAACACGCACACACACAGTTTGGGAACGTCCAGCATTATAAAGACACCCATCCAACGTTCCAACGTCCCTCAAACGTGCCAGTGAATGAAACACAACAGCGATCCAAGCTCCGTCAGAGCTCCTGCTGGACACCCAAGTTCATTCTGAAGACCGCCGGACAGAGAACACCGCACAGCAGCGGGAGAGCCCTTGGGGGCAGGCGGAAGGGGAGCCTGGGGCCACCGCAGGCCGCTGTAGCCTCCCTCGGCTCAGCGAAGGGTAAAAGCCACTCAACACCCATGGGGCATGAGACCAACAGCCGGCCCGAGCTCAGAGAGCAGGATCTCAGCGCAGAGGCCTCCTGAGGCCGCGCAGTGCCTCCCAGTCACCAGGACGGGCACCATGTTTGAGGGCCGCGTCACGTCCGGGGACTTGGCTCTGCTCCTGGCAGTGGCTTGGGACGGGCCACCTTCCACACCAAACCAAGCCCCTCCCTCTCGCCCAGGCCCAGGATGGCCAACCAAACCCGTGTTCACGCCGGACGGCGGAGAAAGAAACATCACACACTGACCTGTGCCCGGGGCTGAGCTGTCTTCACCGCCGAGGCTTGGGAACCGCACGTCCGCTCCCTGGAAGAAAAACGGAGCCCTTCAGTGGGGCATCATCTGCTCCAACACACGTGTCCCCCCGGGGCGGCCACGAACAAGGGTCTCGCACTCAAGGTCAGACCGCCCTAAAGACCCCTCTGGGGGGCCTGTCTTTCGGCTGCCTTGCCAGACTCGGGGCCAGGCCTCCTGGCGTAGAAGTGGGACGTAAGAAGGCAACTTGCCAGAAAGGTCTACGAGAAGTTTGCAAGGTTGTCCCTGCTGAATTTTCCAAAGGCTCCAAACTCAGTGGATGGAAGGGTCGAGTGATCACGTGACCTTTCGTGCTCTGTAAAGCTGTTCGGCCACATCGCTTGACCCTCAGGGTCACTCTGCAAGGAAGAGGTGGGAACGGAGTCAAGCCCCACCCCAGGGCACCCCCTAAGTCACCGGGGTCAGCCTAAGGAGGCCCGAGGAGCAAATGCAAGGTGGAGTCCGGGATGGGGTCCCAGGGCAGGAGAAGGACACTGGGAGCAAACCGCGGAAAGCGAGGGGAGTGGAGCTGGGTCTGTGGGTGCGCGGTCGGAAGGCGCGGCCACACGGGGCAGACTGGGCAGTGGGCAGACAGGGGCTCTCTTTGAAACTCTCCTGAAAATCTAAAATCATTTTAAAATTAAAATATCACTTAAAAATAACTCAATTCTGGGGCACCCGGGTGGCTCAGTCCGTGAAGCATCCGACTCTCCGTTTCAGATCAGGTCATGACCTTGGAGTCGTGGGACTGAGTCCCGCGTCAGGCTCTGCGCTCAGACAGGAGTCGGCTTGGAACTCTCTCTCCCTCTGCCCCTTCCCCACGCGCTTTCTCTCTCTCACATAAATAAATATATTTTTTAAAACAACTCAATGCGAAGATTTAAAGGCTGGTTTCCTTTCCAGGAGTCCCGGCCACTCTGTTGTCAACCGGGGCCGGGTGGAGAACTGAAATCCCCACTGTCGCCGGCAGGTGGCGCTAGGGGCTCAGAAACACTTGGGTCCGTGGGCGCGGCGGCTGCAGCCCTAAGCTCATGGGGCGGGGAGGCTGCTGCCCCCCAGGCCCTGCCAGAGGCCCTGCCAGAGGGCGTCCTGCATAGCCAGTGCCCCCCCCCCCACCCTGCCCCTGGACCCCGGAGGCTGAGACTTGCCTCAGCCCTGCAGGGGCCATCTATGCACGTGACCCTTCAAGTTTTTATCTCTCAGTCAATTAAAGACACAAGACGTTGCAAACCTAGTGCAGAAGGGGTGCCGGGCACCCTGCGCCCAGCTGCACCCAGGGTGACTCCTTGCACAACCAGGGGACGCTGAGGCGACCGGCCAAGGGATAGGCAAGCATGGTTTTCTAGACCATCTTACTGAGACAGGCTTCTCCCCCTGCACAGAGGCTGCACAATAAAGTGCTTTTTAGTATTTTCGGAGTTGTGCGACCATCACCGCTAGCCACTTCAGGGCTTTCCATCATCCCCAAAGCAACCCTGTCCCTCAGCCGTCACCCACCACTCCCCTAAGCCCCGGCCCCCGTGAGCCCCCTTCCTGTCCATGGAGGAGCCTGATCTGGACGTGTCACACGCGTGGACTCACACCACATGGGGCCTTCTGTGTCTGGTTCCCTCCCTGAGTGCCGTGGGCTCAGGGTCTAACCCGGAGCAGTGCATGGGGGACACATTACTGACGGGACACTTGGGTGTCCCCACCTCCTGGCTCTGTGAACATGGTGGCATGAATCCTAAGCCTTCTCATGTACCCCCTGCAAACCTCCCCACCCTCAGCCCCGGAACACCAGCCCCGCACTTGAACTTGAACACACGGGTGCCCGCGCAGATGCCCCCACCTTGGCTGCGCTTGGCCCAGGCCAGCGTGAGCAACGCACCCCTGCAACTCTGACCCAGGGCCCACGAGACCGCAGGCTGCGAGATACACCTGCTGGTGCCCGGCCGTGCCTGTTACCTTCACCCAGGCCAAAGTGCTGGACTTTCACTCTCCCACCAGAGGGAACCACAAGCCCTCTGGGACGGCCAGCAGCGGGACGAGGAGCTGGGACCCTGCGGCAGGACCTGCTTCGGAATGTGCAGAGCCAGCAGCCAGGTGAAACGGAGATCCCTCGTTCAAAAATTAGTGCCAAACATGAAGAGAATGACAGCAGAGCCTGCCGACCTCACGCAGACCCCAGCCCGAGGCACGGCCAGGGAGGTGCAGGAACGCAGACCTCAGACACACAGAGGAAGCTCTGGAGGAAAGGGCCCGGTGCCAAGGGAGAGAGATGTCACACCTGGAAACAGGTAGTTTCCAACGGTGGCCGTCAGGGTGGCCGCATCGGAAGGAACTTTGTCCTGGACAGCACTTTACAACCTGGGACCTTCCTCTTGTCCACACGCTTCCTTCTCTTTTCCTCTCTTTTCCATGGAGATCGAACTCACCGACCATGACCTTCATTCACCATTTTCAAGTGTCCAATTCAGTGGCTTTTAGGACATCCGCAAGGTCGTGCAGCGGGTGACGCAGCCAGTTCTACACTAACCCCAGGATACCGTCTCCGGCCCCCGAGGAGCCCCCGGGCCCGCTAGCATCACCAGCATTGCGGGTTCCGGTCCAGCGTCCTGGGAGAGGCGAGACCCCGCCGTGCAGGGGCCACACCTGTTCTGCTGGCCGCCACGCTTCGCCGCACCCCTTGAACACAGCACGTGTGCCATGACCCCAGGGTTTCCTGACCCCCAGTCGGTGCTGAGGGAAGGCCTGCAGAGCCAGGGGAGCAGGGGGAGACCAGGCAGCCCCCACAGAGCCCGGTGACATGGGCCAGGTCCCCCCAGGGCTCACCTATGACATGGGAGAGGCCGGAACCCTGCCGCAGGCCGTGGGACCCACGCAGAGGCTGGTGAGTGCAGGCGTGGCTGGAGCGAGTCTCGTCACGCAGCCACGCTCTTGGTGACATCCTCTGTCAATGGCAGAGGGAAAATGAGGCACGCGGATCACCAGCCCAGGGTGCTCCCGGAGCTCCCACCAGTAACTTCCTGGTGGTTTCTACTGCCTGTGTTGTTCTGGAGCCTCCGAACGGTGAGTGGGGGACACGGGCAGCGGGACCCTTAGCTGCCAACGCTGGAGACGTGAAACCGTTGGAAGCAGGGCCGAGAACCGGATGTGAGAGGAGATGACAGGGCAGCCCCTGAGCGAGGAGTCGCGCTGGGCTGCACCCCTCAGAGCCCATCGTCAGCATCTCAGGGTTACGGGACTGAGGACCCAGCCCCAGCCGGCACAGGACGGCTCCTCTGGGAGGAAGGCATGTCACAACCCACTTCGCTCCATCAGAGCTCGACCAGAGGGACTTTTCCAGAGCACTGGCGCAGCCCTGCTGTGTGCAAACGCTACTGTCCCTCCCTCTAGAATTCAGGGTTCCCTCCATGCCCTGGTGGGTCATTCTCGGGGGGGGGGGAGGGGCATCCTGGTCGCCGTGGGGGCACTGAGCAGCCTGTCCCACCCGCTGGATGCCAAGACAACCCCAGTCACATGACCACAGAGCCCCTGCAGGGAAGGAGGAGGAGCTCTGCTCAACAGCCTGCACCACAGCTTCCGGAAGCTTCTATGTGAGGTTCTGTGCCCAGCTGGACACAGTAGCTCCTGAGCCACTGCCCCCTCTAAGGGCGCTGTCCCTCCTTGGGGGGGTAAATCCCTTTTTGGGTAGAACCCTGTTCTGTGTCCCAGGCAGGGCACGGTGGGGCAAAGACTGTGCAGGAATGTCACCTAGGACTTGGGTTAACGCTCATGGTCACGTATCAATATTGGCTCATGGATGACAACAAAGCGGCCACACTATGCAAGTCGGCCAAGGGGAGAAGTGGAGGGGGCGCCGCCTGTGCGGGAACTCACTTTTCCGCTCGGTTTTTCCATAAACCTAACGCTACACTAAAAAGCAGTCTATTGGGCGCCTGGGTGGCTCAGTGGGTTGGAGCCTCTGCCTTCGGCTCAGGTCATGATCCCAGGGTCCTGGGATCAAGCCCCGCATCGGGCTCCCTGCTCAGCGGGGAGCCTGCTTCCTCCTCTCTCTGCCTGCCTCTCTGCCTACTTGTGATCTCTGTCTGTCCAAAAAAAAAAAAAAAAAAAAAAAAAAAAGCAGTCTATTAAGAGAGGTTCTTGAAGACACAAATTAGAATTCCGGTTTTAGAAAGGAGGAAGGGAGCGGGAGGGGAGAGGGAGCCCATCTCAGACCAGATGACCGCTGAGCGCTCACAGGTCCCCAGGGATCCCTCCGACGAGCCCTTAGAGCCAGACCCGGAGAGAAGATGGGTCAGTCCCGGCCAAACACATTTCCTACTATTTCCCCCAAAGCTCTTTCGAGGGTTGTTAAGATACAGTTCGGGGAGGATCAGCCTGGATTAACCTCCACCAGCCCCGCGCCCCAGGCCGGGGACCAGAGTGGATCAGAGCCCTAATACAATCAGTCCCGGCACTGCCCTCGGATTACTCCCAAATCCCATTTGGCCAACCGAGAGCATATTGTGGCCGGTGATGAGCCGATGTCTACGTCTATAAGCTGCACCAAGCAGAAATCGCTGTCCAGTACACCCAGCGGCCCCGACACCCTCAGGGTCTAATGCCAGCGCCGTGACACCGACGGGCCCCGCCGTCAGCACCGACTCACCGGACGTCTTCTCCCAGACGTCCAGTCGGCCGTCGCAGGTTTCTAAGCGTGAGCACTGAGCAGCCTGGGACTTTTCATTTTCTTGTTTCCCCAGCATCTATCGGCCCGGTCATGTGGGGAGACACAGGACCCCAGTGGGACACGAGAACTTCAGCGAGGGGGAAGCCGCCTAACAACAGGGCTGAGAAAATGAAATCCTTGGGATTTCACGAATTATCACAACGTAAAGGGCGGCATCGAGTTTCTGAAACTGAACAAAGCCACTGCCTTTACCTCCTTCCCTCCGAAGCAGGGTCTCTCCCTCCCCCCGCAGCACGGCTGACTCTCCGTGGGGCCTCCCAGGCACTGTGGGGGGCATCGAGCAGCACCCCACGAGCCCGCTGGCTCAAGGCCGAGAGCACCCCGGTCGTGAGGACCTCCATGTCCCCAGGCGGCCCCCACAGCCCCCTGTTGAGATGGGCTGTGCGGACCCAGCAGAGGCAGAGGGCAGATGTCCCCCTGCCTGGGATACAGTTCACTTGTCTGGGAAATGAGTGGGTGGGAGCGGGGCATCGGCCCCCTCGACACCCTACACGGACGCCCCCAGATGATGACCGCGGGGTGCGGCAGGAGCGCCGGCCTGCCTGGAGGCTGCGTGCGGCAATGCCGAGCCGTCCTTCAGGCTCTGCAGCGATCAACCCAGCCTTCTCTCGTCACCACAGCAACCATCTAAATTTGTCACCCTGACGAGGCTCTGATTGCAAATGAAGGGGGAGGAGAAGCCTGGGGGCCCGGAACAGTGGGGAGGCACCCAGAGGAGAGGTGACACGGCTGATGGCAGTCTCCACCAGGACAGACCCTGGGCAGGCGCTGTCACACCCCTGATCAGACAGGGCTCCAGGTCCAGTTTGCTTGGCCCCAGGGTTAAAGGTCTCCAGGAGCCAAGTACGAGAGGGCAGAAGGCGCAGGGAGTGCTTCTGCCTTGTGATCTCGGGTCCCTGGTGACTGGGAGGTCCTCTCTGCCTCCCCCACGTGGCCCAGGCTGGGGGTCACCTGGTTCCCACCGGGACCATTGGGGTTTACTCTGCTCTCACATGTGGGCAGGAATCGGAGTCAATTTTTTTCCCAAGTAATTAATACAGGGTCTTCTCCCCCCAGAATCTGGCACAGCTACCACGGCCGGGTCATTCTCTGTCCTGGGTGCAGTGGGGACCGAGCAGCGTCCCTGTCCCCCACTCCCTCGATGCCAGGAGCCCCCGGCTATGATGACCGCAGATGTCCCTGGACATGGGGCAGGACTGCTCCCCTGTGTGAGGTCATCAAACCCCCATCTGGAATTGGAATACGGAGAGACAGGCGGTTTATTTGGGAGCGGGCCAATGTCTGACCAAAAGAGAGAGAGAGAGAGAGAGAAAAGACGGTATGTAGAAACAGATTTCTTTTTTCTCTCAGAATTAAAACGCTGACAGTCCCATGGAAGGGGGTGGGTGGGGACACATACTCTCACATCCAAGAGGCAGCGCTCTGGTGCACTGTCTGCCCTGACTCCCAGCTCATGGCCTCCCCTGTGCCTCAGTTTCCAAATCTGTGACACAGAGATGATGGGAGCACCTACTCCACGAGTGCTTTCCAGATTAAACAGCAGAATATCTGGGGGTGCCTGGGGGGCTCCGTCAGTGAAGTGTCTGCCTTCCGCTCAGGTCATGATCCCAGGGTCCTGGGATCGAGTCCCGCATCAGGTTCCCTGCGCTGTGGGGAGCCTGATTCCCCTTCTCCCTCTGCCTACAGCACCCCTGCTTGTGCTCTTTCTCTCTCAAATAAATGAATAAAATCCTTTAAAAAAAATAAACAGCCGAACATCTATAAGACGTTTCCATCAGCATCCAACACTGTTAGTAGCACACAACTGTGCTCTCATGTGCTTTGTGTTCTGTAAGACGTGGCAGAGAAGTCACACGCCACAACTTCTTCATCACTCAGAACTTGAGGTACCGGCTTTGTTGACAAGACCGGGGCCCAGCAAAGCACCCCCGCGAAGGGCCAGATGGTCAGTACTTTTGGCGTTGGGAGGCAGGTGTTCTCTGTCATTCTCTATCGACTTGACCTGGCCCCAGTAGACAAACAGGTGCGGCCATGCGCCAATAAAACTTTATTTACAAAAGCAAATAGTCCAGCCCATAGGCTGCCGCTTGTGACCCCCGGCACAGAAGACGGTCTGGTAAAACACGGCACTATTTCAGCCACGGATACTCACGGTCAGGCACCACTGCGGAGAGAGAGTCCCGATTTCATCCCCAAACTAGACCCTGTGTGGGTCACACGGAGAAGCTCCACGCCGCCCCAGACCGTCACCCAGAAAATGATCTCGGACCGTCCCTCCACACAGAGCACTCACAGATGCAGAGCTGCCCCTTTTAAGTCCCTAAGAGGGCGGTTGCTTTCCCACCACCTTGAGAAAAATCCATCCCCCGACCTGGTTGTTAAGTACCTCACTTTTATCGACTGGTTAAGAATAAGCCTTGGCTGCAAAGGGCACCCAGACCTGGTGAGCAAAATCACCACTGGTAACAGCGCGCAGGACGCCACCCCCCCGGCCCCAGAGCGGGACACGGTTTGAGTGCACGGAAGGTCTGAGAAACCGCCACAGCCCAGCGGGGCCTGAGACTTGACACGGGAACGTCACGTGGGGTCCTGGATGACGTTCTGGGGCAGAAAAAGAGAATTAGGGGGAAAGTCGAGGAATCCGAGGTATGGAGTTCAGTTACTAACGCCACACCAACACTGGGTCTCTATCTGTGACAAATGTCCCACACCGAGGGAAGACGGCGCCCGCGGGGAACCTGGGTGCGGGCCTGCAGGAACTCTGCGCTGCCTGCCCCATTGCTCTGGGCATCTCAAACTCTTCTAAAGTGAAAGTTTACTGAAAGAGAGAACAGAAGTGAGTGACGAAGGGCAATTAGCTGCTGCCCCCGGGGGAACGCTTCAGAGTGTGACTGAGGGCACATGAACTCCCTGTGACAGCACCTAATGATGACACGATTATATAAAACCTACAAGAGAAAGACGCTAAAAACAGGATATGCTAATCAACAGGGGAAGCGTGCTCTGATGACAGGAACAGGGGGCGGAGGAAGACAGGTGGCTGAGTGGTCCCCCCCCCCCCCACCCCCCCCCCCCCCCCGCCCTGGGGCAGCCACAGCAGAGATGGCTCCCGGCTCCAGGCTGGAGCAAGCCTCTGCGACATCGCAGGCCGACCTGGACCCCGTGCCATGTTCACTCAGGAGGCCTGCTGAGTGTGCACCCAGTGCCCGAGGCCTGGAGGAGGGCAAAGACTTTACGGATGGAGAATTCTGGAAAATCAGAGGGAGGCTGTGAAGAAAGTGGTGCCTGACCAGAAGAAAGACAACTAAGAGATCGTGGCATCCTGGTCTTTGCCAGTGACCTTATTAGACACGTCCCTCTGCACCAGGGTCTCTCCCTTCTTGGGCCCACAGACATTCAGGGCTGGTTCATTCTCTGCAGGGGCATCCCAGGTGCTGTGGGGGCCGCGCAGCAGCCCTGGCCCCACCCCGTCCATGCCAGGAGCACCCCCGGTCGTGACAACCACAGACGTCCCCAGACATCACCCAGCGTCCCCTCTCAGCAGAATCACCCCAGATGAGAACTACCATCCTACAATACCTAACAAACTACACACAACCCATAAGGAGTGTAATTATCCCTGCTCTACAGATGGGGAAACAGAGGCTCAGAGAGGAGATGAAACCTGCCTGAGAAGAAGAAAGAGAGTCATGTGTCAAGTACCACTTTTAATAAGGAGGGGTCTCTGAGTTGGGAAGGAGGCAAGGCTGCTCTATCAGGGACAGGAGGCCAAATCCGGCCCACCACTTACTCTGTTAATAAAGTTTTATTCAAACACAGCCACGTCCATTCACTTATACACCATCTATGGCACACCTGTACCTACAAAGGCAGAACCCGGTAACTGCGAGCAAGACCGCTGGCCTGCAAAGCTGAAAATACCTACCCTCGGGTCCCAGAAAGTCTGCAGACACGGAGAGATCCTACCTCACCGCTTCAAGGCCCTGCACGGCTTCCTGTGCAGACTGTCAGTCTACGTGCGCAGGGAATGTTCTGCGGAAGGAACGCACACAACACAGGCAGCCTCCCAGGAAGTAGAGCAAACCTGGCCTGCTTCTGCTTGGTTCTGGCCCAGGGGGCCTGCCCCGTGCTCCCCTCGGAGGCCAGAAGAGAGGGCCTGCCCCTCCCGATCTACCTTCCCAGAGCGCGTGTCATCGTAGGTGTGCGGGGACTCTCGGGTGAGTGGCAGCGGGCACATGCCAGCCCATCTGCCTTCGAGGCCACGTTGTGTGGGCGGTGCTGTCACCTCGACCCTGCTGTCACATGGGACGCAGGGGAGGCTTCTGCTCCGAGCTCTGCTGCTCGCCTAACTCTGCAGGTCAGCCCTGTGGCCTCCAGAGGGTCAAATGTGCTGAGTGAGGATAAGCTCATCTTCCTGGAGCTCCAGCTGCCTCAGCAGGGCTCTGCATCCCAGGGCTGAGACCCACTGGATGTTCTGGAATCTGAAGGTTACCTTGCTCCACGCCTTCCCCCCTCCAGCACTGTGGGCACTGAGGGCAGGTCACTCTCTGCGGGGTGGGCACTCTGGAGGGCTGGGCGCCATCCCTGGCCCCACCCACGCAACGCCAGGACCACTGCAGCTGTGACCATGAAAAACGTCCCCAGGTTCAACTGCTTGGTCTCTGAAAGTCAAGTCACGGACGCACTGGACCTGACTCCAGCCAACACTCGGAGGCTGAGTGAACCAGGGGGGCTCGGAGGGTCCAGAAAACCGCCAACTCCAGTGCAGCAACCCTGAGACCGCCAAACGGTCCTGCCCAGCAAGTCCCACACACGTGGTCCCCGGGACTCCGTCTGTTTCCTAAAGCTCGCGTCCCTCCTGATCCGAGCCTCGCCGACTATATGCGTTTCCGGGGGGGCCATAACAAACAACCACAGACCAGGCGGCTTAAAACCGCAAGGACCTCTTCTCTCCCA